AGGTAAGAAACATCATTGTTGCCATTTTACAGAAGAGGAAACAGGTTCCAAAAGGTTAAATAACTTACCGGAGACTATTCATTTGGTAAATGATGGACCTGGGACTGAAACCTAAGAAGCCTGGCCAAGAGTCTGAATTAATAACCATTATCCTATTCTGCGTCTCTAAGAAAAGGATGTTGATTGCAACATCATTTGTAGTAGCAAAAGTCTAGGAAAAAAACAGAACCAAATATACATCAGTAAAGAAATATTAAATAAATCATGGAATATCCATATAATGGAATTATAGAAAACCATTAAAAATGAAGCATCCTTATATGTACTGAGAACACAGGATATCGCAAATATATTAAGTGAAAATTAAGGTGTGAAGTGAAGAATAATGTTTACAACATGCTATTTTTTTCTAAAAAGAAAGGGATCACTGCTACACACACACACACACACACACACACACACACACACACACACACACACATACAATCTCTACCAAGATTCACAAGAAATGGATAATATGCTTATAATATGCAACTAGGGGACAGGAGAGCACAGAGATGTATTAGTTTTAATAGTCTTTGTATGATATTTTGGGCTGATTAGAGTATTTAATTAACCACGTGTGCATTACTTGTTCAATTGCAAACCAGATGATGAAAGAAGTTTACTGGGTAATCAACTAATTTTATTCCCATTTAAAATAGTACTTGTATTGTTTCTTGAAGACTTCGTATACTTTTTATTACTCATCCATTAATTCAGCAGATTTGAAATTTTATTTGTTTTTGACAAATAAAAATTTTATAAATTTAATGTGTACAACATGATGTTTTGATATAGTTATACAGTGTAAAATGATTACCACAACCTGATTAATATATCCACCAACTCCTGTTGTTACCATTTTGAATGTGGGTGGTGAGAAGACTTGAAATCTACAAGCTTAGTAAATTTCACATATATATTATTGACTATTGACACCATGCTGTGGATTAGGTCTACAGAACTTATAATTTTGTCCCCTTTGATCAATATCTTCCCTTTATCCCTACCCACCAGCCTCTGGTAAGCACCATTCAACACTTTGTTACTATGAATTCAACTTTTTTTTTTTTTTTAGATTCCACATATAAGTTAGATCATGTGATATTTGTATTTCTGTGTCTGGCTTATTTCACTTAGCATGTTCTCCAGATTCATCCATATTGTTGCAAATGGCAAGGTTTTCTTCCTTTTTTTTAGGCTAAATAATATTCCATTATATATACACCACGTTTTCTTATTCATTCACCCGTCAATGAGCACTGAAGTTGTTTCCATAACTTGGCTACTGTGAATAAGGCTGCAATGAACATGGGAGTGCAGCTATCTCTTCAAGATAGTAATTTTATTTCCTTTGGATATATTCCCAGAAGTGGGATTTCAGCAGATATTTTTGAGTGTCTATTTTGTGCTAGGCAGGAACTGAATTATGTATTGGGTATATAATGATGAATAATATAGGCACTAGTCTTTGCCTTTGTGAAACTTACCCTCTAGGAAAATGACAGATATGAAACAAGTATTTGATATTTCTAATCATGAAAAAGTTCATCAAAGGAGGGAGATAGGGTGATAGGAGTCCTAAGCTAGACTGTGGACTAAATGAAGACTTACCAGAGTATGTGATGTTTTGAGTAACTGCAAGATGAGTAGGATTAAGCTATGAGAGATGAGGAAGAAGGATAAAAATGCATCTCAGGCACATGGAACAGCATGTGTGAAAGCCCTGAAGCAAGAAGGAACATGGGGTATTAGAGGAAGTGAAGGAGAACCAATATAGCTGGAGCTTAGAGAGAAAAGGGTGAAAAGTATAAGATGAGACTGGAGAGTTTAGAAAGGCCTTTTAGACAATGTTTAAAATTTGTGAACATCTTTTAAGAGCAATGGGAAATCATGAAGGATTTAGGTAGAGGAAGACATGATCATATGTGAATTTTTAAAAGTTTACCTGTAGTGTGGAGAATATACTGGAGAGAAGCAAGCATAAATAAGGGGTCCAGCTGAGGCCTATTGTAATTGTCTAGGCAAGAGATTATAGGGGCAGTCCAGAATGAGAAGTGGATATATTTACAATATATCTTTGAGATAAACCTGCCAAGAGTTGCTGATGAATTGGTTTAGGGGTGAAAGCTAATGTTATATCAAGGATGATCCTTAAGTTTTTGACTTGAGTAACTGATTAGAAGGTGGTTCCATTTCTAAGGTAAGGAACACTGGGCAAATACGTTGAAATGTTCAGGAGTTCAGTATTGAACATGTTCAGAAGAGATGTTGAATAAGGGGCTGTGATATATTGATCTGGAGCTCAAAGGAAAGACCAGAAATAGAGACCATTAAATTACTGGTTTGTAAAAAAAGTTGAAAAAACATCCCACAGTTGAAAAAACTTTTGAATACAAAGTAAATGTTCAGGTAATCACGGTTTTTCAACTCAGGAAACCACTAAGTACAAAATTAGTGTCACAGGGATTTAATAGGGTAGTCAATTTGTAGGTAACCATCACCTCATATTATTGTAACTTAGCCAACTAAAATATTTCAGTTTTCAAAAATAGGTGTCCTTAGAATAATAGAATAGGTGGCAATTAAGTGGCTTTACTTTATGCTATTTTACTGAAATTATCAACTCTTATATTCATCTTTACTTTGCAAAAAATGTACAGAAATACATTTGAAAGAAAAGTTATTTTGAAAATTTTCTCCATTCAGAGGCTTTACATTTTTCTGTTTTTTCCCCATGCCCAGAGAGGGTGTGATAACTTCAGAGAAAGAACAGATACATATATACTGACAATTGTATCTTTCTGAGGATCGTGCTTTCTAGCCTCATTTTAAAAAGGGATTTAAAATTTGAGGCAAAACATATTGGAAAATTAGCATTACAGAGTATTTGTTTATTTTATTTTATCCCACTAGATGTAAACTTCATGATGACGGGTTTTTTTTGTCTGTTTTGTTCATTGCTGTAATCATAACATCTAAGTTAGTGCCTTGCACACAGTAGGTACTCAATGAATATTTAAGGAAAGCTGAAAATTAGATATACTCACAATGAAAAGGGTATATATATATATATATACACACACACACACACACACACACACACACACACACACATACATACACACATATATCCAAAGTAAGATAGAATACTTTTATTTATCATGATTTTAACCATCCATCTATGGCTTCTCACTGTTAGAAGAGATTTTAGAGAGTTTCCTGTGTTTACCCTTGGCAAACTATTAATTTCTGCTCCCACTAGTGGTATTAAGAGCCTCATAGATCACACAGATGAGATATATTTCACGTCTGATAATACTCAGGTACAATGTTGATAATTATTAGGGCAAAATGCAGCAATAACAGTAAAATACAAGTTTAAAGACTTTCCATGGAACTTTAGCAAAGTAATGAACGTATTGAGAGTCTTCAAAATATGACACATCATAGTCGTCGGCAGATATGAAGGTGAAGATTCAGCCTCTGTCTTCATAATGCTTACCATATATTAGAGGAGTCAGAGCTAAGCTCAGTTCAGAAAACACTTTTAAAATTCCTCTTATGTGCCAGGCTTGTGATAGATGCAGGAAGTAAAAAGATAAATAAGGCATGGTTCCTGTCTTACAGGGGCTTATAATTTTGACTGTTGTATATGTGGGTGTGTATTTTTGTGAATATGTGTGGAGATATGTGTAGTGTATAGGAACCAGTATAAATGCAAATACTTTCAGTGCAATTTGGGAGGTTATGACAGAGTGGTAACACTATGCAGGGAAATTTAATCCAATATAGGGAGGAGATGAAAGGAGGAGACGGTAAAAGCCGAACTGAATCTTGGGGATCAGTGTTAGCTAGAGAATATAAAGATCATTCCATGCTGAAGGAACAACAGAGTGACTGGGGGACCAGAAACAGCTCTGGTGTAAGGGGAGGTCCACTACTGCACTTTCTCTGAATTATTTTGAAACTCTTCTAAAATAATTACACAATGAATTTCTGGTATAAAAAATGTACCTTTTCTCATTCCCATGCACTCTCCCCCTCTTTTTTGCTTTGGGGGGGGCAAAGCATTTAATACAACGGGGTGGGGTTGGACGTGTGGAGGAGGCTGACCTTGAAAATACTTGAGAGCTGCATTAGCTGGTTGGCATAGACTACCCAAACCCCGTCGTCAAATGCAATCACTTTAATCACTTTAATATAAAGGCCATTTTACCTTGGTCATTTGTGCGGTAGCTTATCGGGAGAATCTTGTATGGACTCCTTGTATATGTATAGAATACCAGATCCTGCAATAAACGCTTATCAAGCAGCTACTATGCTTTCTTATCTTTCTTCTTTCCTGTTAAGCAAGGCTAATTTTGCAAATATATATTGCCAGGATGGCTGTTTGTACTAACTAGAACAAGTACAGGCTCGATGAGCGTTCCATTCTGGAGAAACTAGAGTGAGCGGTTTTTCGCGGGCTTTCATGGGGGAGACAAAAAGAAGAAAAAGATACAGCTTATAGTTTGAAAGTATTGGTGTGAAAAATTATGCTTTGGGGGCCAAAACAAAAGTACAGACACACTGCGGGAAACGGTTTCCAGGTTGGAATGAAAATTTCCTTTGTTCACAGTGCAATCCATTTTCAATTTATCTCTATCTTCGAGGTCTCCTAACAATTCTTGGTTCATCATTGTCAAGGGGTACTCCGGCTCCCCACATTCATCTTAGCCATCGTAGTAAAATCGACGTCTCTTTTCTACTCCAAACCTCCAGGATAAACACGCTACTGCACTCAGCCTGGAAAATAAACCGAGCTTTTAACATTCGCGCAAATATTACAAATACAATGATGCAGGCGCTTACTTGGATCGGCCACCCAACAACTACAGTACCCAGAATGCACCGTTTTCCCTTCCGCTTTCCAGCCAGGCAATGCCTAACTTGATCTCATTTTCACAAGCAATGGTCACATGACACGTTTCCTGTCAAGATGGCGGATAATCTCCCTTCGGAGTTTGATGTGATCGTTATAGGGACGGGTATGTGTGGCTCTGGTACTTCACTGACAAAGTATAGGAAGTCTTTTTGTTCCTACCTTCTCTGTCAGTGGCGAGGGTTGGCGAGAAATGTCAGAGGTTGAGCATGGGAGGGAGAACGGGAATGAAGTAAGATAGTCTGTGTACAGCGCGGCACTTAGCAGCTACAGGGAGGGGCTTGGGACCCGCGGTGCTTAGCGCCATTTGAGTAGGGGGTCGATCTGGTCGATGCCGAATGCTGAGGTTGGTTGCTGCGGGTGATTCCTGTAATTTCCTTAGAGGGAGGTGGGTTTTCAGTGTCATGAGAACGGAGGGTCTGGATTTTATCAATGGAGACGCCTTTGGCATGACATGATTCCTTGTTGATTTCAAGGTGCTATTTCCCATCATTTTATTTCGCTATTTCATAGGAATTTTTCATATATTTATATAACCTTAGAGTGCAGGGCAGCTCGGATACAGCTGAATCCTCAGTTTTTCGAAAAAGATACCCGTGTGCGTTTTAATTTACTAGGGCAAGGGAACGGATTCTTTTCTACTGTGTTGAGAAGTGTAGGGAATTGTATTTTTTGAGGTAGCCATTATTCCCGCTTTATGATGCAGAAAGAAAGCATTTTGTTTTCTACAACCCACCTACCTAACCACAACTAAATGAACTGAGAACAAGCTTCTTCGAGTTTCAGTTCAGGTGTGTGATTTTATCTTCCCCTTGTCCCACCGTTTATTTTCCATGTTTTGGGTGGAGCCAGAAACCCCTCTGCACTTTCTAGTTGACAAATTCTACGTACAACACATGGCAGAAGACATTTGGCAGCAGTTGGTATTTTGTTTTTCTTAACAGTGTAAAGGATGGGTTTTAGATGGGGTGAAATAGATTGTTGGGTGGGGTTTTCTCCTGTCTACAGAATGTGGTAGGCCAGAGAAGCTCTGGTGGACCATTGTGTTACTGAATTCAGTTTCTTCTCTTCTCAAACAGTAGAAGCAGCCATGTTTCCAGGTCAGGAGTAATAATAGCTACCTGTTTTCCAATGCTTATTTTTTGCTAATTGAGGTGCTAAGCACTTTACAAGCTGTATGGAATTCTTACAACAACCTTATTAGAGTAGGTATTCTCTACACCTTACAGAAGAGGAAAGGAGCTTTGAAAAGGTTGCAGTTTGTTCAAGATCACACAGCTGGTAAATTTCCAAAAGCCCATTCCATCCCAGAAGGAGAATCAATGGTTCTGACCCTCAGAGTTAACTCGTATTATTAGAAATAACTGGGAAAACTTGGTTCTAGACCTTGTTTGGCTATTAACTATCTGTGTGAATGGCTAGGGCTAGGCACTTGGCTTCTCTGAGCCTGTTTCCCTGTTTTTGAATACAGGGAGGGTAAACTAGACAGTCTTTCAGGTGCTGCCTAACCAAAAATTCTCTTATTCTAGTTTCACTTGGGTAATTATTCTCCCTACAGTAAGGACATGTTGATTCCCATCCTGAAAACTGCATGGCTTCAGATGACTAGTCTGTAATTGCTATGAACAGATGTTGGAAAAAGCCAATAGATCGTTCATTTATTCTCTCCAGTCTATCCTAAAACTGAGAACAACATCCATTTTAGAATAGCTGTTATACCATACTTGGGTTCTATATTATTGCCTTTCTTTTTTGTTACCTAGGAACTTGGTGTGTTTAAAAATTTTTTATGAATCATTGATGTTTTATCCATATGTGAATTCAAAATTAATTGATAAGATTGCTAATTCTTGTTATTAAATGATGATTCTTATAATAAATATTCTGCCTTCTGATTCAGTTTATAATATGGACTACATCCATCGTGTTGGAGTATGTTATGATAGAGGTAGGAAAATACTGTGAGTGATCCAGAAAATTGCATCAGGAGGCATCTGGTGTCTGGGAAAAGATTCATTTTAGACTTATTTTAGTGAGAATAGTGTTATTACTCAAAGTAGCAGAAGAACTTATTTGAAATTAATTTTAAAATATTAAGGTTTTCATTATCACGTAATGATGAACATATTCTGAGCTTATCAAGCACATTGCCTGAATTTCTGATATGAAGCTTTGTTTTTAAATATGTTAAAATGGAAAAATTGGATAAAAGTTATTTTCCTAATAAATGATTCCAATAAATCCATTCATTAGTTGGAATTATTTTTAATGTGTTTGGGATATTTTATTTCTGAAATAGTTTGCTGAAATCAGCCTTTAAACTCTGTTTGCTTTACTAAATATACTAGCTTGAGTAAATCATAGGAAAAGCAGTGTTTCATAGCTTCAGTTTTACTGTCCAAAACAGTCATGCATGTATCAGAAACATGAATAGGCTCTGAAATGTAATTTTTCTTATAACAAATTTAGTTCTAGTTAAAAAGTCATTAGCAGACGATTGATTCATCAAGTAAAATCATCAATGGAAAATATTTTAAATCCCTTTGACCTTGATTCAGTTGTATGTTTTTTCCTTTTTCATAATACAAGGTTTTTCTTAAGATCATGTTTTGAAGAGATTATGGGAAAATAAAGTTTGGTGTGTATTTTCTTTTTTTATTTTTTAATATATCTATATTGATTTCAGAGAGAGGAAGGGAGAGGGAGAGAGAGAGATAGAAACATCAATGATGAGAGAACCATTGATCGGCTGCAGCCCACAACCCAGGCATGTGCCCTGACCAGGAATGGAACCCTGATCGCCTGGATCCTAGGTCGATGCTCAACCGCTGAGCCACTCCCAGCTGGGCTTGGTTTGTATTTTCTTAGTTTAGCCCATTTCCTTCTGATTACAAAATACGGGAAATATCTCTGGATCACCTAAAGGCAGAGGAATAAGATAAAGTACTTGAACCATGGAAAATATAGAGGAAATATAGAGGAGAACCAACTGGAGTCTGAAGGAAGAGGACAAGAATAGATATGTGATAAGCGGCCTTTAGTTTGGGTACTCACTTGTCATTTTCAAGACATTTTACAACTTAAAAAGACATTTGAATGATAATTTTATGGGTTGTAGGGAAGTATCATTGGTTTCAGTTTAAAAATAGTACCAGTAACATAACTCCTCACTGGAGGTGGCTTATTTGGCAACCTGTGTGATCTCCAATCTGCAGCAGAGCCAACAACTCAACAGAAGAGCAGGCAAGATGGAAGAGCTGTGTGGTAATATCAACATGCTTCTTATATAGGGGAATCCCTCAGGCTCTCAGGGCATTTTAATTCTTACTTTAGAAATTATTCTAGCCTTCTCAGAGTATATTAGAAGCATCCTATTAGAAGATATAGGGAGTGTTATCAGCTTTTGCCAAAGCTGTGTTGGGGAGGAGTACCATTAGACATAAGTGACAGTTCATATCATGGGAAAGGGAAGAGTCTAATACTTAACATGCATACCTACATCAGACAGTACAATTGCCTGGGAACATTTAGTGTAGTGACAAACATCCATTTATCAGTGAGTCAACCCACATTTACTGAAAACCTAGTCCCTGCCCTTGTGCAGTTTACTGTATTGCCTATTTTTTTATATATGTTTTTATTGATTTGAGAGAGAGGAAGGAAGAGGGGGAGAGAGAGATATAAACATTAATAATGAGAGACATTGATTGGCTGCCTCCTGCATGCCCCCCACTGGAGTTTGAGCCCTCAACCTGGGCATGTGCCCTGACCAGGAATTGAACTGTGACCTCCTGGTTTATAGGTCGATGCTCAATCACTGAACCATGCAGCCAGGCTGTATTGCCTATTCTAAGGAACTGTTTGTGGTTCCTGAGAGTTACATCCTCAGAGCTATTCATAAGCCAATGTGGGTTTTTCATCGCATACTTCTTGCTTTCTGAAGGCCATGTAGAGATTCAGTCTGCATCCCTTTCCTTTCTAAAGTATGCTGCACAAGTAATATTTTGGACTTCTTTCCCTAAGGTAGGTTATGGAATAGGCTAGCTTAAAATTTTTTGTGTGCAGGATAAACATAAATCTTTTTTAAGAGTTTTATTGCTAAAGATTATGAGGAAAGAGATGAGATAACCAAAAGAACACACATGGAAATTACAAGGGGGTATTGCTCCTAAATTCTGACTACCTTGCTAGATAGTACTCATCATAGTACAATAATAGATGTGGCAGCATAGCATAATGGGAATCGCTTGACCTTCCTACTGAGTGGCTTTTGGCAAATTGCATAATCTCTTGGAGCATCATTTTGTTCATCTGCAAAATGAGAGACGTGATTAGGTGACCTCTAAGTTAGGCATATACAAGCTCTAAAATTTACCATTATGTGTGCATAATCATGACTCTGGGTCCTAGAGAAAAGGCTAGATTCTGTATAGTCTGTGTAAGAAGTCAAAATTTTCTATGAAAATGGCTCATAAAAAACATTTTCTTGAAAGTGGTAAACTGCTTTTATCATGTAGGTAGCACAGTTCCATTCCTTGATTTCAGTCGAGAATCAAAAAACATTAAGGTAATTAGCCTTTGGCTGGCAGCTCATTGTCTATAATGCTTATGTTGGTGATGGAGTAGCTACACATCTTTAAACATTGGGGGGATAGGAATACTGCAGGAGGTGTCATAGAAACTGATATTTACCAAATACCTATTTGTGCCAGACTGTGCCAAGTGATTTCCCTTATATGTGTCTCATTTGATCTTCCAGGAAACCTGTATGAGGTTCTAACATCACAGGATGTCCATACTTCCTCTGCTTGTATTTCCAAACATCCATGGATGGTCCAGAGCAGAGTTTTTTTTTTAAGTTTTTTTTTTTAAAATATATCTTTATTGATTTCAGAGAGAGGAAGGGAGAGAGAGATAGAAACATCAATGATGAGAGAGTCATTGATCGAGCCCACAACCTGGGAATGTGCCCTGACCGGGAATTGAACCCTGATCGCCTGGATCTTAGGTCGACGCTCAACCGCTGAGCCACGCCCGGCCGGGCAAGCAGAGTTTTTTTTAATTGAAAGATGCCACCTGTTTTTGAGTCATGAAATTAATTCCAGC